TTCTGTCCTTTACTGAAAATCTCCTACATCTGGCAACGTTCTCTCACGTTCGCATCTGCTGAAGTTTCGGAACAAATGCAGCCAACTCATCGAAAACGAATCTTTGAAAATCACATGAAAAATCTAACATAAATAATTCTGAAATGAATTACTTATTTATTTCATAAAAATAATATTCTACAAACAAATATTTTATCACTGCTCACCAAAGAAAGCAACCGTTTGTTTACATTCTACAATCGTTATGAAAATATAATAATTGCGGGTATTCCTTAACGAACGAAAGCTTGCTTTTAAGTCATTACATGTATGTATAAGATTAGGAAATTTAATGTAATTACGTTCAATTTACAGTTTACAAACCACAGATTTGATACATAACTGAAATTAATGAGGTAATCCATGTCTAATATGTTTTAAAGCCTCAGATGATCTATTCCAGTTCCAGAAAATTTGAGATTAAAAACAATATTGTCTCTTCAATTCATCTTTTTTTTTCCAGCAGAATATTCATTTTCATTCGCCCCAGCTAAGAAAAATAAAAAAAAAATAAATAAAATCACATTATCTAGGCAAATTTTGGACCATTGCTGAAGTTCTTTAATGTACCATTGATTTGCAAGATCATCTAGCTCCTCAGAATACTGTTACTTACCACCAAAATGGGTAATAGAAATAGGGATGTGGCACTGGGTGGGTGACACTGATGGCAGTGACACTGATACACATTAGAAGTGTTTACATTTTTTGGTCAACGTTTCTGTACTTGACACATGGATTCAAGCACAGATGTTTTGCTTCTTTTTGATGTCCTTGATTTGCCTTGCATTTTTACGATCGGCAGCCGACAAGTGGTGAACGCATAGCTAAAGTTCATGGCTTAAAAAAGAAAAAAAAAAAAAAAAAAGAAAAAAAAAAAAAAAAAAAAAAAAACGATTGCTTAAAAAAATTAATTGCTTCTCAAAAATAAGAAAAAATGCAAAAAGAAAAAAAAAGAGAAAAATTCATTGCTTAAAAAAATAATTGCTTCCGAAAAAAAGAAAAATGCAATAAAAAAGAAGAAAAAACTTTATTGTTAAAAAAATGCCCCCCTCCCCCCCAAAAAAAAGAAAAAAAAATTGCTTCAGAAAAATAAGAAATCAAATAAAAACTGCATTATTGCTTTAGATTTTTTTTTTTTTTTTTTTTTTATAACTTAGAATTTCTGGATTTCTGAATAACCCGTCTATGTTTAAGCTTCGAAGGCATCGATTCCTGAAGAAAAAAATGTCAGATCCTCCCTTATACATGCATAAACTTAGAACCTTAGTTCCGTTACCAGTTTGAGCTTTAAGCAAGGGAGAATAAGGGTCAAAGTCCTCTACTACTGCCATGCTAATGTAGAATGGACTGGACTATAGGATGTCTTGCCACCTAGAGGTCATTGAATTTCTGTCTGGCTAAGGTGGATAATTTAACAAATCATCCTAAGCCTAAAAAAAAGAAGAAGAAAAAAAGGAAAAAAAATGTTGTTATCCTAAAGTGTGTAAGTAACATTTGCATAAATGTAATAAAAAGTATCAGGCCTGTTTCCACGAATTTCAAAATTGTAGGACTATCTCACTGACAATAAACACCCTACAAATATAGACTTATTTCATACACAGAATAATCATATGTGTAAAATAAACAGAAATGGTGTGTATTCTAGAGGCTCTTGATCCTGACACGTGTCGGAAATCGCATAAATACAATGCCGTTGGTGAGCAACGATTTCACAGGTGTGGAGAGAGAAAAGGCAGGTGGAAAATAACCGTTTTCAGATGCATTTTCTGGCGTAAGCGTGTACGAACGTATTATACTTTTCAGACCTTTTTTGGGTGACTAAAGGCCCTATCACACTAGCACCTTTTCCGTCATTTTTTTTTTTCGTTTCCGAATGAACTCCGTAGGAAAATCATGTAAACAAACATGGCGCTATCGGAGTGAGGTCCCGGGAATCACACGAGCATTCTCATACATATTACGTTATTTTAAAGAAATATGATGATGTATATTGTATATACGAATGTTCTAAAATATTAGCTTATGTTTACATTCACTTATCCTATCTAATTTATTAATAGCACAAGATCAACACGGAAATTAGTCAGACGGAAACGGTCGTAACCGTCTTGGTCTGGGAGGCGTTCCGTTTGTAGACGATCCTTGCGGAAAGCCTCAAATTCAGACGGAACCCCAGAAATTGACGGAAAAAAGTGCTAGTGTGATAGGGCCTTAAATCGCCGGTGACCTCGCTTAACCTGGATTATACTCACAGGCTTTGGTTCTAAGGATTTCTGCTGTTAATGAGCGGTATTTTAAAAAGAGGTGGCACTTTCAATATTTTGGGCACGTAGTTCCTCATAATATATATATATATATGTATGTATGTATGTGTGTGTGTGTGCATGTATGTACATATTTATTTATATACGTATATGCATATATGTATATGTATGTATATATATATAAATATATTTTATATTATTTTTTTATTTTTTTTTTTAGCTCCTCACCTAACTTTACGTCAGCCGGCCATATTCCCGAAGATAGGGTTAACAGTTAGATTCACAGATAAGGTTCGAGAGCAAATGCTAGATTTCATTGTATATCAAAACAAGCATTGTTTTCTGACTCATGGCAACGCTCCTGAAGGGGCATTGTTTAATTTTTTTTTCCAAAATCGAATTGAAGGAAACTGGTTTACTGATTTGTAAAATTTGTCAAAATTTCATGTGCGTGTGTGCATACATACATACATACACACACACACACACACACACACACACACACACACACACATATATTATATATATATGTATAATATATATATATNGCAATCGCGCGGAGGAACAATGTTGTAACATCGCTCCTTCCACTCCTACTACGCGAGGGAACCGCTAGGGGTCTCGTTTGACTCTCGGCCGATAAATCCTTCAGGCACGCACTCCTTTGCTTCAACGCGCTTTGGGGGGGCTGGGGGGACTGCGGGGGAGGGGGGAGAAGGAGGATTGTTTGTCTAGAGGGAGGAAGGAGGCGAGAAGAGTAAGGAGGGGAAGGGCCAGGAGGGGGTGTGAGAGGAGGGGGGAGGAGGATTTAGGAGGTGTGAGGGGAAGGGAGGAGGGTTGGAAATACAAGTAGCAGTGCGCCAGACGGGGAGGCAAAACAGGAATAATACACTCATCTTTCACCACTTTGTGTGAAGCAACCTGTGTCAGTGGGAGAGAAGGAGGGAAAGAATGAAAGAGAATGAAACAGATTGTTCGAGATAACTGGAGAAAATCAGGCAGGGCAGGAGAAAGAGAGTGGAAGCGATGGTGCAGAGAAGAGAGAGAGAGGAAGGGAGGATAAGAGAGAGAGAGAGGAGGGAGGAGAGAGAGAGAGGAAGCGAGAGAGGAAGGGAGATAAGAGAGAGAGGGAGGAAGGGAGGATAAGAGAGAGAGAGAGGAAGGGAGGATAAGAGAGAGAGGGAGAGAGTCATCATGCTCGCCATCTCGGGCGGCACTCTTCAGCGCCCCAGAGCCACCGCAACCACCTACACATCACCCCGAGGCCCTCCCCTTATTCTCCCCCACCCCCCACTACTTCCTACCCTAATCTCCATCCCCCCCCGCTCCCGTCTCCTTACCCCCATTCTTCCCCCCAGGATACCCTCCTTCCCTAACCCTCCTCCTCTTACCCTGTCCTCTCCCCCAGTATCCTTACCCATATGCCCCTCCTCCTCCCCTCCTCTCCTACTTTATCCCCCCCCCCCACTCCCTCTCCTCCCTGGACCCACCAGGCTCCTCTCCTCCCCCACCATCCCCCCCCCCCCTTCCTCATCAGCCTGGCCACCTGTCGCTTCGTTGACACATATTATGAGTCACGCTCTCCTCCCGATGGCTTCACGTGGCCATAATTTTGTATAACCTTCATTTTTTTATATATACTTGAGGGGAGGTGGAAGGCCGCGAAACCCTTTTCTTAGAGGTCGTTCGCACCTTATTCTTAAGGGCGAGAGGAAGAATAAGGCAGGGAGGGGACGATTACATAAGGAAATATGATATTTCCTTTCTCTCTCTCTCTCCTTCTCTCTCTCTCTCTCTCTCTCTCTCTCTCTCTCTCTCTCTCTCTCTCTCTCTCTCTCTTCTCTTCTCTCTCTCTCTCTCTCTCTCTCTCTCTCTCTCTCTCTCTCTCTCTCTCTCTCTCTCTCTCTCTCTCTCTCTCTCTCACGATGTGACCTGAGGCGTAAAGGGTAAATAGTCAGAAATATATCAAATTTCGACGAAGATGACATTTATCCATAAGTGAAAATTAAATACTCTCTGGAGATCTCTTGGGGCATAGACAGCAGATTTTGATAACAAAGAACTGAACACAGAAAATCAGAAGGACGGTGTGGGAAGTTGACAAGCGAGGAGAAGGAACAGGCACCGCTACAGAATCTTTAGGAGGCGGGTGGGGTGGGGGGGAGGGGGGGGCACAGGTCTCTAATATCGCGACAAAGTGCCAGATTTCTTCCCTTGTGGGTCGGGTAAGAACAGACACTTCTTGAGCTCCAGGGAGTAGGTAGGTGTGCTCTTTTTATCTTGGGAAAGGGGGAGGGGGGGTGGCTGACGCTATATTTCTCCTGGAATGGAAAAGACTTTATCTATTTTTTCAGATATTTCAATTATGCAGGCTTTTAAATTTGCAGGTCTATTTTTTCCATTTATTTATTTTTTTTTTCTTTTTTTAAATTCTAAAGGTATACTTTTTTCCATTTACTTTTTTTTTCTTTTCTTTTTTTGAATGTAGGTTTTGTACTTTTTCACTGAGAGTACAGGCCTCTGATTTTTTTTTTTTTTGGGGGGGGGGGGGGGCAGGCCTCTATATCATCGAATAAGTGAGAACTTTCCGCCACCAATAGTAATTTCCCTCAGCCTGCCTGGGATCAGGAAATCCCAAACATCAGAGAGATCAGCTGACACGCCCTCTTTTTTCCTCCTCCTTCCTTCTTCCTTCCTCTTCTCCCTTCTCTCTCTTCTCTCCTTTTCTCTATAACTTTCCCTGTCCTTGTCCCTGTGTCTCTCTCCATCCTCTCCCTCCTACTACCTACCTTCTCTCCTTCTCTCTTCCTCCCTTCCTCTCCTCCTCCCCCTTCTTCCTCCCCCACCCTTCCCTCCCCTTCCCCTTCCCCCCCACCTCTTCCTCCTCCCTCTCCCCCACCTTCCTCCCCACCCTCCTTCCTCCTCTTCCTCTCCTCCTTTCCCTTCCCTCCTCTCCCTTCTTCCTCCCACCCTTCCTCCTCCTCTCACCCCTTCTTCCTCTCCTTCCTCCTCTCCTCCCCCCTTCCCTCCTCCCCCCCTCCTCCCTCTCCCTCATCTCCCTCTTCCTCCCTCCTCCTTCTTCCTCCTCCCCCACCCTTTCCTCTCCTCTCTCTCCTCCCCCCTCCCCCCCCTCCCTTTCTCCCTCCTCCCTCCTCTCCCCACCCTTCCTCCCCTCCCCCTTTCTCCTCCCCCTTCCCCTCTCCTCCCGCAACAAGGAGGCGCCTGGCGATTCCCGCGACGCCGCCGGTGATCGGAGATTAATGAGGCGAAGTCGTGATGGCTTTCGCTTCTGCGGCGGCGGACGCTGCGCCTCACGCCCTCATTCTTTCCCTCTCGCGGGGGAGGTGAGGAGGAAGCTTCAGGGGGAGGATGGAGGAGGAAGGCTTCAGGGGGAGGAGGAGGAGGAAGGCTTCGTGGGGAGGATGAGGAGGAAGGCTTCAGGGGGAGGATGAGGAGGAAGGCTTCAGGGGGAGGATGAGGAGGAAGGCTTCAGGGGGAGGATGAGGAGGAAGGCTTCAGGGGGAGGATGAGGAGGAAGGCTTCAGGGGGAGGATGAGGAGGAAGGCTTCGTGGGGAGGATGAGGAGGAAGGCTTCAGGGGGAGGATGAGGAGGAAGGCTGTGGGGGAGGAGAGGAGGAAGGCTTCAGTGAGGAGGAGGCTTCAGGAGGAGGAGCTTCGTGGGAGGGGAGGAAGGCTTCAGGGGGAGGATGAGGAGGAAGCTTTCGTGGGGAGGAGGAGGAGGAGGCTTCAGGGGGAGATGAGGAGGAAGGCTTCAGGGGGAGGATGAGAGGAAGACTTCAGGGGAGGATGAGGGAAGGCTTCGGGGGAGGATGAGGAGGAGGCTTCAGGGGAGGATGAGGAGGAAGGGGGAAGGATGGGAGGAAGGCTTCGTGGGGAGGATGAGGAGGAAGGCTTCGGGGGAAGGGAGGAGGAGCTTCAGGGGGAGGATGAGGAGGAAGGCTTCGGGGGGAGGAGGAGGAGGAAGGCTTCGTGGGGAGGATGAGGAGGAAGGCTTCAGGGGGAGGATGAGGAGGAAGGCTTCAGGGGGAGGAGAGGAGGAAGGC